GCCGGCCCCTCCAAAAAAAAAAAAATTAAACTAGGGGTGGAGGATTTTGCTGGAACTGGAAGATTTTCTTTTGAGCGCGCATGTTTGGCCCTCCCCGATTTCATGCGGTACATACATGGCCGGAGGGGCGCCACCGGTTTTGTCGTAAAAAATTTTTTTAAAGGCAAATTGGGTCCTGTTTCCGGACAAGGAGAACTATAACAACAACATAATTTAATAATTTTTCATTTTTATTATATTTTGAGTTGGTTAATTAGCCGACTTGCGGTGTACCGACGGGACTCAAAAACCGAGTCGATCATTACCGAAAAATATTTTTATGAAAGTACGGGAAGCGGAGAGTGCGTTGGTGGCATCGATTTATGATTTTGAGGTCCCAACCATTTATTTTGGGTAGCCCGAAGTTGAGAGAAAAATGGTAGTGGCGGTGATTTTATTGTCATTTACACGTCTAGACTTCGGGTAACCGTCGGCCCTTGTTAGGCGTGCTAAAAATTAGCGGGAGTGTTTTCTTGAAAGCACGAGAACAGTAGAAGTCGTTCATAAAATTTATTTCACATTTCGAAGGTTCGAGCATTTATTTTGAGAAGCTCGAAGTCGAGTGCGCATAATAGAAGAATAAAATGCCGTTTTGCGGGGTTCCATAAGGTTACGTGTGACCTCGGTTTAACGAGAATCGAGTTGGAGCGTGTAGACAATTCAAGCACGATTCCATACGGACAAATTTTGCATTTTTCGGAGTTCCGAGCATTTATTATGGGAGTTTGAATTTCTGCGTTAAATAGTATCAAAAGGAGCAAATTTGTCGAGGACGAGTTCGATCGTTCGAGGCTTCGTTTTCTCAAATTTTTCAGCTTTTCGTCTATTCGAAAGGAGGTATAATCCTTGATTATTATTATAATTGAGTCCGAGATTTTTATTAGTATAAATTCGAGTGCTTTTCGAGTTAAAACAATTCAGTTTAAGTATACCAGTTTAACTCCAGACTTAGTTTGATTTTTAGAAAAATCTCTAGAGTATTCATTTACTGCGAAAATTTTTGAGAGCGTCCACAAAAGCCCTTTGAGCGCCCTTCCGATGTCGGAGCGGGGGTGGTGCGCCGCGGGATGGCCGGAGTGGGGGTAGTGCGCCGCGGCAAATCGGGTCCTCCCCGAGATGACCGGCTGGTTTCGCCACAATGATGAACTAGTAAATCATTCACATTACTGTATCAGCTAGTAAGAATTCATGTGGAAGTCAACTAATTACTATATGTTACTTAGAATTCTCATCGGCTATCCCCAAAGTCAAAATCTCATATCTATATATATATAATTACTAGCTAATCCTATTTAATAAAACATTTAATAAAAACATTTCACTTTCCCTCCAAAAGGAGTTACATTTTTTTTAATTAATTACTCACTAATCCCACATTTAAGAAGATTTCTTTTAGTTAAACTTAATTAGTTATAAATTGAATAAGCAATTAAAGTTATAAAAAATATTAATAAATGTAATAAATACAAACATCATAATACAGATCATGTTACATTGTAATAAAAAATGAAATTATTTTTTTTGTACTTTAATTTCCAGCCATACTCCATCAAACATATAGCTGCAAAATGATAAGAAAGATTAGTTTCATAATTTAAATAAAATTTAGCTCCCCCAAATGGTAAAAATTTATAAATTAGTAGTATATATACATTTAAATGACATATAATTTATAAAGTTAGACTATACGCATAATAAGATGAATTAAAAAAAAAGTTATGAAGTAAATAAATAAATTAACAGTCTATA